TGCTTAATTAGGCTCCGGTTCTTTTGAGTAAGTGTTCCTGGTTCGTTGGCAGTGAGTCCGTCTGCTTGAAAGAGAATTGCTGACGAACCAGCCATTTGTTAGCAAAAACGTCTGCTGGGGTGTGAAGGTGAGAAGTTGTTAATTTAAAATGAGATCTTTAAGAATCCCAACTGTGAATCCGTGGGACAAACCTCGCTGGAAATCCAGAAGATTCCTGCTTACCTCAGTGACGACTGTGCTAGCGGCTTGAGGCAAATATTCTGTATTTATGCAGAGAAAGGGGGATAGCAGAGGCACAAACTTCATAGCCTGTAGTTTTTAGAATATGGTGAAACTCCCAAATGAGATTTCCAGTCCAGTGCACGAACATGTGCTCGTGTAACTCGGGGACAAATCTTGCTTCACCACTGGTATCTTTGTAATCCTAAGGAACAATTCCTTCAGGCCGTTGGTTATTGCTGCTATCTGTAAAAGGAGGGGGAAGTGCAAAAGTAGGAAATAAGTCCATGTTGTTTCATTTATCCTTTAGCCAAACTTTCTTCCTTCCTCAGCATGGGCCTTGCAGGGAACCCAGTCGGATAAATTTGTTTAAAGGTTAGTTTTGTCAGGCTGATGGCACAGAGGAGTGCTGCTGCATCTTTTATGTGTTGGCTTACGTGGTCAAAGCCATGGTTGTCAACTACTCGTTGCGGTTCCCAAACTTCAAGTGCTCTGACTCTGTTCCTCATAAGACTAGCTTTCTCAAAAGAACTGCATTTACAAATTATAAAAGCGTAGATTATGTTCACTTATGAATGGTTCAGTTCACAGTTTCACTCCCAACAGGGGGGCTGAGATGCTTGAGAGTCAGGGTCCAGGTTCCTTCTCTTGGGTAGACCGTGCTCTGGCTTTTCCTTCAGCACGAGCTTCTGAATTTCACTTGAAGGATTGATGTGTGGGGGATAACTGAGCAGGAGTGGTCTCACAAAGGATGGTATTAAAGGTGGAGGCGGGGGGAAAGTGAGCGATTTGCACTCATCTTGCCTATTTTGAGCCCCATTCGGACAGGCTCTCTGTTTTGTGTCAGGTAAGAAAGACGGTAAAATACTGGGCTGTGGTTTTGCACGGGGGTGTTGGCAAAGGGAGGTCCTGAACTCCTGGAGCACTGCGGCTGCAGGTGGGCATCCACAGTGGCTCTTTGTCAGTGAAGAGGGACGGCTGGGAGGGTGGCTTTACAACCTCAGCTGCCTCTTTCTACCCATCACACCGAAGCAGCTCTGACAACTTTTGAGTTGTTCAGATGAGTTTCCTCAAGCTTCACGAAACATCCAGAACACTTCTGATTCTCTTAATGCTGACTGCTCTTGCATGAATGCCAGCAGTCAGCCAGACTTCCTTTCTCCTCCCTCCCTCCCCTGTACAAATTGCTTCCCCAGGGCCATCCAAACACAGGGCTCGTCTGGGAGGGAAGGAAATCAGTGTGCTTCAAAACCTAGCTGTCACCAGGTGAATAATTCTTTCAAATGATGAATGTAGCAGGTATCTCAGTACTCAGGAAGGTCCTAAATTTGATTTTGTTTTTCTTTACCATCGAGAATGTGCTGCAGAAATGTCTTCTTTTCGCACAGTCAGTGAAAGTCCCTTTGAATCTCAAGGGCAAATGGTGGCAAGTGGGTGGACCTGTCACGTACATCCAGCGCCACATCCAGGAGAACGGGGGTGTATCAGGTTCAGGACAGAGGTGCTTCTGTCTGGTCTGTCTTTGCACTTATGACTGATTTATAACTTCATTTTTGCATAATGCCCACCCCTGTGTGGATACGTGTCCAGTCTGTAGGCTATAACAGAGATTTGTGGTGGAGTCAAGTCCTTCCCAGTGTCAAGGAACTGTCCTTCAGACTTGTCATAATACTGTGTCTGCAGTCGAGGAAAAAGTTGGCGTATGCAGAAGGCTGTTCATAAGTCTTAGCACAGGACTTCAGCCCTGGAGCATCTTGGAGCAGTTCTGGACCCGCTCTCTGTATTAACATGAGTCCTGAGACCACCTACATTTCTCAGTTAATCTTCCTAAATTCGTATGTAATGCCAAGAGACAAGAAGATGCGTACTTCTGACATCTACAAAGCCTCGCTTTTTTTCTCTTGCCTCAACTGGACCAGAACTCTTCAAGCTGTCTCCTGTCAATTTTATGGCTCTCGCTGGCTTGCTGAGATGCCACATTATCTCTTTACAGACGCAGGGACCCGAGTGTGGCGTGCCACGTCTCCGCCAGTCACTCCTTATCTGCCCTGGTGTGCAGCGAAGGGGGTGCCGTGTTCCATCAGGTTACACAGCCCGTGGCTTTCCACCCGAGTGCGGTAATACTTGAGATAAGCAGCCGCACGGAGCAAAATGCTATTGCTCACCAGGCAGTAAAACCCCATCTCTTGATTTTTGTTGTGTGTGGTTTGTTTTTGGTTTTTTTTTTTCCCCCCCTTCAATCTTGTTTCAGCAAAGGCAGCTGGTACCTTCTGCCTCTGCTGTTAAGAAGGACTACAAGTGCAAACTACCCGTAGAGGGAGGTTCATGCCTGGAAGAGTCATTTTAATAATTCATTTCTTCAGAGCAGGACTACTCAGTTTGGGGTAGATCTCCAACATAGCCCCTGCCTCTGCTTTGGGAGTTTCTGGCTCCTGAGGACAAGAAATGCGGGAGGGCTGGGGAAGGCCAGCCTTTCAACCTTCTTGCCCCGCGCAGAATCACCAAGTCGAACATGGAACCACAGTGGGTGGTGATACCTTGTTTTTCATGTCAAGATATAAAGGTGTTTTAAGACAATAGATACTCTGGCAGTTAAGTGGTCATGGTGGTTATCTTCCGAGGACTCCATTCATATGTGTCCTGGCAAAGGATTGCTTCCACATGCACATGGCTGTCACGAGTTCCAAACCTACAGATCTGAGCAACTTCACGCCTAGCTTAGGTGTTTTAATGTGTTGAATATATTGGCTGTTGGGCAGGCATCGTGAAAGGAGGAGAATTGTTTCTCTAGAGGATTAAAAACAAGTTACTTAGCTGTGTTCCCAGGGAAGCAGTGCTAGAGTGTCTTAACAAGCAAGTCGCTGTTTGTTCGATGGCAGATTCGGTGCTAATTTTCCTGCTGTCTACTGCTGTTTGTATCTCACAGTTGTGGATGAAAGCAGCAGAGCAGTGATTAGCTCAGACCCTGCTGAAAAAAAAAAAGAAAAAAGGAAAAAAACAAAACACTCAATGGCTTCTGAGGAACAAGGGAGTGAGAGTATATTGCCCTCTGGCATTTTTATTTTATTTAGCAGGTAAAACTGTTCACTGAACCAGAGTTCATTTACAGTGGTACTCCAGTAGACTGCAGCAGCAGGATGGATTACCAGTCACTCACAGTGCAAACAGGAATCGTTCAAACTCTGGATCATCTGTGCTCGGACATTCAAGTCTCTTGCCCTGCACACTTGAGTAGCTGCCTGTGCCTCTCCCTTGCCTCCAAATTCCTG